AGGTCCATGTCTGTCCTGTGCTGAGGACCTCCAGATCCTGAACTCCACCATCTCATGGTCACTGCAGCCCAGGCTGCCCTTGAGCTTCATGTTCCCCACCAGCCCTTCCTTGTTGGTGAGAAGAAGGTCCAGCCTAGGACCTCTCCTCATTGGCTCCTCTAACACTTGCAGAAGGAAGTTATCATCAACACATTCCAGGAACCTCCTGGCTTGCTTATGCCCTGCTGGATTGTCCCTCCAACAGATATCGGAGTGGTTGAAGTCCCCCATGAGGCCCAGGGCTTGTCAACATGAGGCTGCTCCTCTCTGTCTGGAGAGGCCCTCATCCACTCAGTTTTCCTGGTTGGGTGGCCTGTAGCAAACCCCCACTACAGTGTCCCCTGTTCCTGACCCACAAGCTCTCAGTTGGCTCCTCATCCATCCCCAGGTGGAGCTCCATGCACTCCAGCTGGTCACTGACATACTCCTCCCCGCGCCTGTCCTTCCTGAAGACCCCATGTCCTTCCACTCCAACACTCCAGTCATAGGAGCAAGCTTTAAAGTTGGCTACAAAAAGATAACTTGACAACACCTACCACATGCTTTTCGTCCTAACAGCCAACACCATGGCTCCAAAGGCAAGCCAAACACCTCTAGCAATTTAGATTTTCCAGGTAAGACTAACAAAACTGCTAAGTTCTCCAATACAGACAGCAGTCTCCCCTTGGACACTTGGTGTGGAAATAGTATTACATTTCTACAGTTCAAATGATTTAATGTACTGTTACTGTACTTGGATTTTACAGCTTTGATCACTCTATTCATCATAGGAAACTACAGTCTGTCCATTACACCAAATATTTTTAACTTGATGTCTAAGGATTTGAAGACAGTTATATATAACCACTTCCTTCTCCATCCAGAGAAACACATCCAATAGACGTCCAATAGCTCCCAAACTTAGATTTATAACATACCTCAAAACTTTATAACAGAAGCCACAGAGAAAGATAATACAACCAAATGCTGATAGATGGTAAAAGCTACTTTTTCTCCATTGCGCTAAACAGCACTGGAGTTTTAATGCCTTCTGGTACCTCCTCTCTTAACAGCTTAAGAGAGTCCAATCTTTTATCTTGTGTGGAAGCCTAAAGTCCCAGCAGTGAATCTCTGTGTGGGACTGACTGAAGCAGAACCTTTGTTCCTCCACAGAATCTGGCCCTAAAGGGACAATAATGATGAAGGGAACCTACAGCAAACATTGAATATCATACACAAAAATTTAAGCAGCAGTGAGAACCACTTCAAGAAATTTGATGCGACAGGGAAGACAGACTATGGGACAAATCCCAGTCACCTGAAGTTTCCCAAGTGTGGTCAAGGATTTTTGCACATCAGTCTCTTGGCTGATATGTTTACAAGATGGATACAACATGAGAATTTGTTCTTGTTTAACCGTGCTGTTCTCAGGAGTTAGCAGAAAAGACAGCTGAACACTTAAACTTGCTAAGCACAGCTACACAAAGGAACAGACTGACCATATATCCGTTGAATTAGGTAATTTCAATGCTGTGTTGTTGACTCAAGTGCTTTATCTATTCCTTGCAGCACGATTGTGAGTGCCAACTTGCACAAGTTGTTTTTAATAACTTGTTTGGTGTGCTGCAGTGCTCAGTATGTGTCTTGCTATGCCTGTTCCATTACTGCTCAACTGTGCATTGACAATAATGCAAGCATATGGAATTTACCTGATAATAGGCAGCTCTCTGTAACTGTTCACTGGCTCTTTCCACATGGACTTCTGCACTTTCCACATTAGCCTCTATGCTATCTATGGAAAAAATAAAATAACTGATTGCAAATATTTCAGGGCTGCAGTGTTAAAAAAATAATCAGAAATACAATACTTTTTATACCAAATACTGGAAAATTTAATCTACGGAGGCAAAACACATAAATGAACTAAGAGGAAACTTCCATTATCCAAGCAGAACTTACCAATCATATCTCCTTGGTCATGAATCATCATGGCTAAATCCTTAAATATCTGATTGACATCCAAAATGTCTGCCTGAAGACAACAGTTTGACAAGTTATAACAAACACTGGTTACAATTTCTCTAATCCTCATTCTTAGTACCTCTTCTGACCATTGCTCAAAACGTCAGAAGAGATCCCATCATTCACTGACTGAGGCAATCTGATGCTACCATCTGTGGAGCTTGGGGTTAACACAGAAACCTACAATACTCCTGCTACGCAGCATTTGTTCCATCGCACTAGCAATGAACACAGTATGGAATTGAGATGAACACTGTAACATGAACAGCTCCTACCATCTGTGAAGGACCACCAGTCAACACTGAAGGAAAATATACCTAGTCTCCTTCAACAGGAGCTGGGAGATTGGTCCTGGCATCAATCCTCTCTACAAGTAACTCTGTTCCTCCACCTTCAGATCTCCTCAGCCCATCCCATTAGTTAGCACTGCATGACTTCTTTGGTTAATCTCCCAATACTGTTAACTGTGCAGGATCTACTGGTCACCTCTAATTGCCTGATTGCTGTTTCTCTTTCTTTAATGAGTTCAAGGTCCTGTTCAGTTATTGCCACATCTTCTTCCTGAGACTGCATTTGATTCCAATCTTCACCACTGGAAAGAGATGGAAAGAAAGTACAACTCTTTCTCTGAGTGTAGGTACTTCCACACTCCATTTACAGCAAAGCACCAGTGAGTTAAAGTTGAAAAGTTTCCTACAGAACAACCCCCAGGTTCCTGGCCTTGCGACTATATACAGAGACAGGACTGATTTGTGACAATTACAAATTGTAACAATTGAAAAAAAGGGACAGAGCAGGAACAGTCAAGGAACTGGGAAGCAGTTACATGCATAGAATACTCTGTTCTAGGATGTGACAGTTATCTATAGCACTATAGAAGAAACCTCCTTATTTCAGTTCTGCCTTTTTTTTTTTTGCCCCCTTTAAATACCGGTACCTTCCTTCCCTCTCACCATCTCCCAATATGGAGAAATCAGGGTGAAAGTTTTGATGGAGAGTAGCCTGCAAGCAGAATTTTATCAGAACAAGAGAACACCTGACAAGCACCTGGATTCAAAGATTCTCACTTGCTATCTGGAGACAGGAATAAAATGTTTCAGTGTTTTACTTCATTAGTCTAATAAGGACTGCAAATTACATCACACACACCAAAAGAGATGTTAAAAACCAAATAACTCTGCATCTCGGTCTACCCCTCTCCCGAAGAGCTGGTACTCCATAACTGCTGCACAAGTTACATCACTTATAACGAAGGCAGCACCTGTAACACAAGGCCATCTTTATGTTCAGCATAGAAAGTTCTTCACAGGCAACATCTCCCTGTTCTCAACAGAGAAGCGTGCTGGGAAGCACTGTAACACTCCATGTTAGGTCTACAGCACTAAATAGTAAGTTTTAAAGTCTCTAAGTGCCAAAAGAAATGAAGATAAACTACATGGTTAGGTTAGGGTCAGATAACCCATCCAGCAATTCAGCTCTGAGATGACAGCAGGGTCTTCAGACATTTAAGGCAGAAGTTTCTGACATGCAGCACACAAGAAGAACTTCAAACGCGGAGTAGCTGCTGTGTGCCACTATCTCGCACTGAGCTTAGAGCTTCTGCATGAACAGGCACCTGCCTCGTGAGCAAGGCATCATGACTCATCACAGCATCCGTATAACTGAACGACCCGGGGCTTTCCCTCCTGACTCAGTACGTGAGAGCACTGGACTAGTAAAGGGGATGCACGCCAAGCAGCTGATCGGACAAAGTACAGTTTGCAGAGGGAGGACATATAGATGAGACATGTAAGCTAGGTCTCTTGATTTCGAAAGCTAAAGGATTTGCACAGGGAAGGACAACAGATTTCATCCCAGTTTTCTCAAACACACATAAAACAGAACGTGACACAGCAATCACAGATACTTCTGGAGTGTCTTCGCTTCTCTTTACTCACACTGTAGAGTTGATATAACATTTTACAAACCTATCTACTATGCAGGCACACTGTTATTGCAGAACTCATACAACTGTCTGACGGGGGACGGGAATGCTGTCTTGTCGTGCACGTTCTAGGATTAGTTTGCCAGTGCATAATGTCCAGGACTCCTGAATTTAAAGGCAGCTCGTCCACTACTCCATTACAGCTCCAACTGGGCTGCTAGCTAACACCCAAAGCCACGAAACAAACATACAGCTCTTTGTGGAAAGAGTTACAGTGAGGGAAATCCTCTCTGGTAATCTTGTGCTCATGGTTCAGAAAACCAGAAGCTCCAACTGCCACATACTGGGGACTGTAGTATTCCCCTCAAGGGCAGTAATCACGAAATCTACATTTAAGGAGGATAAAACACTGTCATATGCAGTTAGTTTTTTACACTGTATATTACAAATACTGTAATAATTGCATTTCAAGTCTTCTTGCTTTGCATTCAACTTGCAGAGCTTGGCCCAAGTTACCATAACATATCTTACCACAAAAAACTTTAATTATACATATTTAAAATGATAACATCAAGAGTAGAAGAAGCTGTTACCTATCAAATGAAACAAGCTTTTCGCTCATCAGCCTGGAAGAGATAAACAAGTTATTAGTTTTGCAGACTACCAGGACTACTCACAAAATCAACAGGAGTATCTTGAAGACAAAGGCATATACTGTCCAGAGTTCAAGAATGCCACTGTCACTTCAGCTTTCAGATTCAACTTAGATTAATTAAGATTAGATTTAGATTCATCTTCAGATTTAATTTTTAGATTCAGATTGTCTCTGCAAGTCAGAGGCAACTGAGTGATCAAAAGCAGCTAGTCCATTTACTCAGATCAGCTGCTGTTTGTCACTTCCTTTCTCAACATGTAGCAAAAAGCTTAAGAGCATAATCCAACAGATAAATGTGTTCCCTTGCAGAAATTAAGAATGCACACTTAACACAAAGCCCCAAGGCAAGGGGAGAAAAATGCTGTCACTGGCCTTTTTATTATATATTCTTAGTAGCCACAGGGGTTTTTCAAAACATAATAGGGAGAAGGTTTCAACATACATTGGAGATATTAGCAGGACAGAAGCTATAAAACAGTAAAGAAACATAGTGCATGATTTAAGATGTAATTTAACGTGTTGTAAGCTAGTGGTAGTCTAGGGCTGACATCGAGCAAAAAGCAGCCTGCAATACTTTGACTCCCCATCACATCCTCCACAATGTTTGCAACTACCAGGATTCCTTTCGTCCTCTACTAACATGGACAAGGAGCACACTGAAATGAGTGCCTACTTACATCACCTGCAATGACAAAACTAATGCACCGAGGCCTCACCTGCTCTCGGTAATGTGTCGGTAGACTGCTATGAAGCTGGTAGGCAAGTACAAGATCTCTCAAGAGGCTTGTAGTTCTCTCTATCAATACAAAATTCCTATAAATACTTACAGAGATACGGGAGCCAGCTCTCGCCCTTGCTACAGTCTCTTTTTCTTTCTCTGACACTCGCCTCTGTATTGCCTGGAAGTTATTTAAGGCCGCGGAGAAGTCATTCATTAAACGTTCTTTCTGAAGCCTCTGTTGGCGCTAAAGAATTGAAACAAAAACAAGTGTTCAGATATTCCCATTCATGATAATGTAACTGTCAGACTCTCAAAAAACTCATCATCATCATAATAACAATAATGAATGTGATCTTTTCATTCCAGCATTCTGGGGCGCAGGAGAGAACAAAGAAGCCCACCATATTTTAACTCATTGTACCAAATGCTCTACACCTTGCCTATTGCAGAACAGTTTTGTGCAGTAAGGTTCTCCAATTTCAATCTAGTTTCAAGTTGGAAGTAGAGAGATCTTCTACACCATTGCTTTCATTCAAATCACATTCCAATAATCTACCACATTTAAGGACGCACCTTTTGGATACCTGTCATGCCTTTACCCGTCATTCCTCTACTTAGCCAACCTGGTAATACTTAACTTTCTCTTGTCCTGATAAGACATCCTCCTTAACTTTCTTACAAATATAGGAAGCTCCATGCTTCCAGAACTGATGACAACACCCGTTACCCCAGTTTCATAAGCTGTCTCAGCCATGCCTCACTACAAGCCTGCTCTTATTTGATCAGAGAATATCCTTAGTCCTGATAACCATTTCAGTTTATCTTTTCTCCATATACCTTAGCTGTAATATTCCTTTTCATCCTCATTTTACAGCATCAACTTATTTAGCCTCCACAGAATCTCTCAGCTGAGTGTTGTGACATCCTAGTTATGGGGAAACAAGAAGTTGTGAAAAACCTTGTCCCAAGGACACTCAATACACTGGTCACTTCTTACGTTTTCCATAAGAGAGATTCCCAACAGCCGTCTCAAATTGCAGGCTTTCCAGGATTGTAATCCTTCAACAAATTTGTATCAATTCAACAGCCATTTCAAGGAAAGAAATGTTTTCAATTAGTTTTTTCTATAATAAGCCACTACAGCAGCCTCATTCCATCTGAACAGTCTGGAAGCAACAACCCTTCTGTCAGAGGAGATCCTCGGCATGTTGATGCCAGCTCCAGCAGATTTTGACTGGAGCGCTCCAACAGGCTTCACTAGGCTTCAAAAGTCACTGCTGCATTCAGTGAGACGCACATGACACAATTTTGTTCACCAGAGGGAGATTAACTGAAAAATATTTGCTGAACAAACAGGCAAAATGTGGCCATGCTAACAACTGGCATATAAACTTTTAAATACAGAATTAGACAACATCTGCTGACCCATATCCCCAGATCATCCCACAATAGTATCACAAAAGCAGATATATCAATATTGTGGCAGTGATTTAAAGCAGAGCAAGAAAATGCCAACAGCAGAAGACTGTCCCTTCCCTTTCCCATAGGGAGGAAGATCTCAAAGGATTATTTGGCAAGAGATAAAGTCATAATAATTTCCTTGTTATATTTTGCTTAATTCAAATACGAGCAAGGTAAGTCACCTTCCCCCCTACCCCCGCTAATAAATCACATGCAAGGGAAAGCTCTTTGGCATGATCACATTTCATCCTGACATGCAGTTTGCTGAGTTCATGTCCTAAAACACTGCCTCACATCAGCAGGTACTTCATAAACAGGATTATTTTTCAGAAATTTACTCAGAAAACCAGAATTGCATACTCAGCTCTCCTCAAACATTTAGGGCTTCTTATTCTCAGGTGAGTAAGTTTGATACCTATTTGCCACTGGGAAACATTATCTTCCCAGTGTCATACAAGCAGCCAGGATGTAGCCAGTTTAATGTGTTTCCCCACTTCAACAATATTCTTCATTGCAAAAGGCTTCCGTCTCTTAAGCTGTGCCAATTCAAGCTTTGTGAGCTTGTGGTCTAAGCTAGTTTCAGGAAATGAGTGATTTAAAAACACATACAGACAAATTCTGTGTGCCTACCTGTTCAGAAGCAGACAGAGGAAGTGGTAGAGACCCCAACTCCTTCAGATATTCATTGGTCTCTTTGGCAAGGCGGTTTGCAGAATGCTGTAGCTGTTGTCTGAAATAAAAGTTCAATAGTTGTTACACAAGCTTCTACCTTAAAAGGTATTTCAGTTTACAAATAACAACCAAGTAGGGGTTATGAGATCACACATCTTTATGGTTTTTCGTTTTGTTTTTTCAGCCTAATGGAACAGAGATGTACTTTTAGCTTTTAACTTCAATTTGACTCTGGACTACATTTTAAAAAAAGATTTAAAGAAGTTCTGTGCTCCCTGCTAACCAGTATATTTCAGTAGTTTTAAAGAGATATTTTTCTCCCATGGCATAAGAGAGAGAAATTAAAGGGAGAGACAACTTTTTTCAGTGAACATAATCACACTTTTAGGGTGAATTCCTTGTGGTAGCAATTGGTAACTGACTGTTCACTTGACAACTGCCAACTCCATTGGTTAAATTTACATTTGATAAAAGTACTGAGACTCAGATATTAAATTCTTATATTTTTGTGAAAACTAATGGTCAGAGAGAGGAATGATCTAACTTCTACTCTGGGAAATGCAAGGCTTTCCCTTCAACCTTTACGTTTTCCAACAACGTTGCAACTCAAAGCTATTGTTTCAAAGAATCTTGTGCAGCAGCACCTTCATTAGTACCACAATACAGAAAGACATTAATTATATTTAACTTAATGCAAAGACATCATCTTGTACATCAAGGATGCAATTTATTAGAAAGAATGGCAGTGATTCAGAGAGAACAGAACTGCACAGAGCGCTTCACAGAAAACAGTTTTATTCTGCAGCCATATGCACAAAAACTAATGCTGTAAACCAGCAAGACACAAAATACTAAAACAAGATCCGATCTTTTTGGCATTCAATGGATACAAGATGCTTAAGTGAAAGTCAGCTCTTCAGCCCAATAGATAGACAAATCAAAGTATTCAGGCTGCATTATTGTATAAGTTGACCTGCAATATGTGAGCTGAACAAACCACTTGTGCATTTTTGTATTAAATTTGCCTGGCAGATGAAAATCTGTGGAGTGCAACCACTCTCACCTTAAAGAGGAGGGCCATTTCGAAATGGAAAGACATTTGTTTGGTCACCAGTGATTAGTTCTTTAATCTACTGATTAAATACAGATCAAGTCAACTTAGCAGCTCAGGCAAACTAATTCCTCTCTCTCCCAACTGGGCTCTGATCTCATAGTTCAAATGTAGTGTATGTAGCTATCACCACAAGACATGAATTTATCCAAAAATCAGCTACTATAAAAAACAGGGAGGTTGAGTATTCATAAGATTCAAGGTACCATCACACAAAGATAATGGAAGAACTTACTTTAATGTTTTCTTTTATGACTCCAGAAAATACTCTTCTTGTAACGTGCTATTTATGCTTTACAAGTTCGTAAAAGGTGCACAGACATACAGACTCCCTGTTCAGTCTCTAGGAGACAGCTTGGACTATTCCTGTTTAAGTGTCTTCTATATTGTCCCCCACCGGCATATTATTCTGAAATTACATGTGGCATGTTGGCTGCCATACAGGATCACTAATCTTTCGAGTGTCTAAATCTGTCTGTACCACAAGATACTTTTTCATCAGTTATGGGTCTTCCTTGCTGTTTTTCTCTATTGCTCTTGTGTGAGGGTGAAGTACCTAGTATGGCATTCATGTCTTCTAAACCACAAGTGAAGCTGCTATGGCCAGACCTCAGAGTACAGCTAATGCATGGCCGTGTACTAGCAACCTTTTTAAATAAACTATACTCTTTCTAATAATTCGTAAAATGGTTTGGGTTGGAAGGGACCTTACAGATTATCAAGTTCTCCCCCCCTGCCGTGGGCAGGGACACCTCCCACTAGCCCAGGTTGCCCAAAGCCTCATCCAGCCCGGCCTTGAACCCCTCCAGGGATGGGGCATCCACAGCTTCTCTGGGCACCCTGGGCCACTGCCTCCCCCCCCGCACAGGAAAACATTTCTTCCTCACATCTCATCTCAATCTCCCCTCTCTCAGCTTCAAACCGTTCCCCCTCACCTTATCCCTGCACCCCCTGACCCAGAGCCCCCCCATCTCTCCTGTCGCCCCCTTTCAGCACTCGCAGGTGGGG